ACTCGAGGAGTCGTGCCGCTGCTTCGGCAGTTATATTAGTATTGCACTTGCCTTACTTGTCGCCTATTTTCAATGACTTGAAGCTGGGAGAAGAGTCGCATTCCTTGCTATTTCAAGGGTGGTCTTTCGTTAAATCTGCACGCGCCCATTATCATTAGGCGTGCCTTGATTAAATTAAACTCCTAAACTTTCAAATAAACCGGTGAAGCCGCCTGTGCACAGGAGATCGGGAGAGGGGTATCGGAGACTTGACGTTCTTTGACGACCTGGCTAGCGCATATCGGTGCCAGGATTCGAGCCTGGGTGGCGCTGATGGTAGATCTGAACTCTACCACTCCGCCAACTAGGCTGCATGAACGTCAAGTCTTCGAACCCAGGCCTAGCGATCCGTAGTGCCACCGAGGTCACTCAACCGAGTAGGGCACTAGGATCACAGGCCTCTCCTGCACGGGCGGGTTGGGTTGGGTAAAGAAACTCGAGGCACGGCCTCGATAACTACATGAACACTCCAGTTCATCAGTAAACTGATATCATACCCTATGAGAGGTTCACTTAACACATATCCTCTGCGGTGCGTATGAAACTGTGATAACACAACTCCTTGCGCTCGCCTCTGGCTCGCGCGACAGACGTCGGGATCGTACTAGGCTTTCAGGCTCTCTCCTGTTATGGCTCTTTCACTCTCCGTACCTGAACGGTACTCCCCATGAAGCCGCCTGTGCACAGGAGATCGGGAGAGGGGTATCGGAGACTTGACGTTCTTTGACGACCTGGCTAGCGCATATCGGTGCCAGGATTCGAGCCTGGGTGGCGCTGATGGTAGATCTGAACTCTACCACTCCGCCAACTAGGCTGCATGAACGTCAAGTCTTCGAGCCCAGGCCTAGCGATCCGTAGTGCCACCGAGGTCACTCAACCGAGTAGGGCACTAGGATCACAGGCCTCTCCCATCCTCTTCCGACGAGCCTACCTTGTTCCCGCGTGGCCGATGGGGCGTCTTCGCGGATTTCCGTTTCTTCTCCTTGGGTAAATCCTCTGGTCGCGCCGCACTTCCGGACCCTCCCACGAGCCTCTCCGGTGCCGAAGGAGTGATTAACGGCTCCGCTGGTGAGTCCAATGTAGGTTTCGGCCCTTCGAACATAGTGCGGGTCAAATCGCTTTGCATGGCGAGTTTGTACGTCCCATCTCGCGAGTATCTTTCCTGAAGACATCGCGCCGACTTCCACCGACCCATCTCTACGACTTTTCCTTCGTCCACGCATTGGTCGAGAAGCAGTTGTGCCCCAGTACGCCTCAGGCTATGCGTGGATACTCGGTTGTTACTCGGCACTCTATCGCTCAGTATCCTTCTGATAATTGTTGTCATTCGCTCCGTAAATGCCTTACGGTCGAGAGGAATCACCCTCTCGTCCTCCTGCCTTCCCTTTACCCATTCTACTAGCCGGTGGAATGGGCAAACGGGATCCCTCGGTACTCGGCAGCAACAGCCGATCGCGATCGTACACCCCTGGCCAAGCTGGTCAGTCTTCGATCGCGCGATGAATATCTCGGCTCTCGCAGCTTCCGCCGACTGGAAAACTAGCGTTACATCCGCTATCGTTAACGCGAGAAGCTCACTTACTCTCAGCAAGGCAGATATACCCACGAGTATGCCGGTAATGACGCCTTGCTCCGAAGGGTCGGATATACTTGCTACAGCACGAACATCCTCGCAACTGAGAGTAGCCGCTCTTCGCTGCTCGAAGATTCCGGACTGGACGCAAAGCTTCTCCGCGGCGCGCAGATAGAGTTTGATCTGACCTTCCTCTAAAGGGCTGACGGTTTCTCCTCTTTCTTCTCTAGCCAGCTGCTTCGCGATCCTGCAGTACTGCTCTACTGTCTCGAAGACATAGTTTGCTCTCACCAAACTTATAATGAATATACAAGCGGTTTCGGCCCGAAACGGGACTGGTTCCTTTCCCGCAATCGTGATGAGCTCGAAGTACTTCGATCGCACATTCGCATACTTCCTCTGCGTGCTGGCACATCTGGCGCCATCCTTGAATCTCAACACCTCTCTCTCCGTTATCTCAGCCGCCGCCTGACGTGCCAGCTTGAACGAACCACGTCTCGTTCCCCTCCGGCCAGAGTTCCGCTCAATCGCAATTGACGACCCTTTCGGGGTGGCCGCCGTTTCGGAGGTCGTCTTCCTGACCTTGTTCCCTGCTCCGAGTAAGTTGGAGAGCTCCGTTTGACACTTGGACGATGGAATTACGAACGACATTCTTTCTTACCACGACCTGTTAGCCTAACAGGTATAAGGCCCCACTCTCACCAACACAACCACTAAGTTAGTTCGAAACGAAACACATCCGGTTCGCACTCACCGGTCCTCCATCTAGTTCTCATAACCATTTGGCAGCTATCGGCTGACGGATACTCCGGAGGATTTTATCAATCCTCAGCTCCTTCACGTCATCGAAGCCGCTCCACATATTCCTTGTCACTGTATACCCCGCGCGAGAGATCGTATCTGCCACTACGTTAGACACACCTTCCACGTGTATGGCCTTCATGAGTGGGGTGGTTAAGGATGGCCGACTCATCGTGAGTAGCCGCATCAACTTATTCAGTGCAGCTGACTTGGCGTACAGCTTGCATAAAGCATTCACGGCGGCGGAATTGTCGCACATGACCAGTACCATTTGATCCTCCGGTCTAGATAGTATACCCACGACGGCGGATAGCAATTCCAGAAAACACATGTGGCCTGATTCTGGTCGGTCCCCTACCCGGAAGGATGGTATATAGTCGGCGATAATGGCTTGAACTTCTGCGCAAGTGAAGTCCATATGATACCACTCAATCTTTCGGCCATCTTCTGATACAATCGCCCCTCCGGCGGCCTTCGTGGACGCATCGCACATGATAACGGCGCGTTCTTCCCCCAAGCTGGGAACCAGGCCGGGGAATGGTGATGCTGTCACATTGTCGAGAATTCCCTTGATATAACTCGCCGCCTCGGCGAGACTCGATCCTATCCTGATCCTTCGCACCCTGCGACGCTTGACGGCGCCTCGTTCCTTGCTTTTAGGCTCTATAGCCTTGATCACGCCAAAGAAGGGGCGCAGTTGACTTCGAAGCCTGTGGAAAATGCTTGAGGCCCAGACGAGCCTTCCCAGGGTTTTTTCCACGAGCTGGACGGGAGCGGTCGAAGCTTTCCGGGACAGCTCTGTCAGAGACTCAATGATGAGGGCTCTCTTTTCCACCGGTAAGACAACTCGCAACCGGGGCAGATCGAGTTCGAAGCCGAGCACTTTGGGGCCGGAGCTGCAGAAGAACTTGTCGAGAGCAACGTCAACGTCCAGGATAAAGTCGGTTAACAGAAGGACCAAGACGGTGGTACGTGCCATCTTCAACGTAGTTGGACATCCCCGGTCATCGATATATACCATCGCCCGATCGAATGCCCCACAACACCTTAACATCCTCGAGGCAATCTTTGTCAAGCTGCTTGAGAATCTTACGAAGAGAAGAGGAGACGACTCTCCTCCGAACGGGAGGACCTTGTGCCGGTACCTTTTACCGTTCACCGTATTCGTTGTCCACCATGTATCCTGTTCGTCCAGTCTCACCAATCTGAAAGCTCCACGTATATCGCTCTCGACCCACAGTAGAGGACTTGCATCGCCGCCCGTCCTCGCCCTCTTCAGGCATAGTTCAGCCAACACTACAGCGCTTTTCGCGTTAGGTAACCGTAAGGTCTCATGTATATGGGGGTCTATGACAGAGTTGACCCCATTACGGCGGAGGTCATCCACAAGCCTCACCTTCTTTAGAACCCCATCCTCACCGTAGGATGGAACACATGCCAGGCGGGTTGTCGCCTTGATCCTCCCCTCATCCTCAGGTGCTATAGGAACCATTCGTCCGAGCTCTATTTCCTTCTGTATCGTACTCTCCACTTCCTGCGAGAACGTCTCAGCCGAGACATAATTAGTCCAGACCTCACGGGTCACCGGGTACCAACCATGAGGAGAAGGTTTCTCTTTGGTCGGCCAGCATCCACTGATTGGAATATCGGAGGTGGTCCCAAAAGGGACTCCTCTATCCATGAGGCTCATGTACGCCACGTCCAGTGGTTCTGAAGTCTCTGATTGCATGGCTTCCAAGATCGCTTGCATGAGCGGAATCCGGATATTCCCACCAGCTGCAGCTTTCCGTTCGGATACTCCCAAAGTTGTGGCCCAGTTTCGTCGGATCTTCTCCGCCGCCGCGAGCAAAGCCGGCTTGAGTTTTTCGAGGCAGTCACTCTCAGCCTGGCGCTTTCTTCCGAGTGAGATCCATTCGTCCAGTGCCGTACCGATTTGCGAGGCGCTTATCTCGTCGATAGCCTCCTTAAGTGAGGCTCCGAGCCTCTCCACCTTGGTCGAAGGGATCAGGTCGCTGTCAGCGTACACGGATGTATCCGCACCAGTTCCATCCACCAAGGATGCTGATTCTCCAACCGCGGCCGCAGCGCACTTCCGAAGGCCTTCCCTTGCCAGTCCAAGGCATGCTGCCTTAGGATTATCTATCGCCCGTCCAGTCTTCACTTCGATCGAGTCTGCTCTCTCTCGGTTCGCCTCGCAATATGCCCCATCGACAGGCCCTTGAGCGTCCCTGAGACAAGGACACTCACACTCGGGGAGGGACTCAAATCAACCTATAGCGCATCGAAAATCCGAGGTTGGCGACTTGCCACAGTCGGTTACCGGTCGGAGTACCGGTCGTCCCACCGGATGGGAGCCCAACGAGGACGGTCAAGTTGACTGAGTCAACGAGTCCAACCGTCTAACATGGCTAATAAGCCTGCAACTCCGTCCTCACAAGACGCACTTGCTGCGTAGATTCCTCCGTTCTCACGCCGGGGCGATGCCCTCAGCGGGGGAGCCGAGATTTGATCGCATCAAGGATATTTCGAATCCTTGGCATCGTCTCTCTGCGACTCCGGGTCTCTCAGTCCTCATGCCCACGTGCATGAGTAACCAGACCCTTCCACACTGGTCTCCCCTATGCCCTTTCTAAGCATAGCGCACCAGTGACCAACGCAACAACTCAGACTCATTTATCAAGTCATTTCAAAGGGAACACATCCAGATCACATCATCTGATAACGCTTGGGCTCACTTCTTGACTCGGTCCTTCGTCGACGACCTCGATTCGCCTTCTCTTCTACGCTTCTCGTGAGAGAACTGGCAGGCGTCACCATACTCGCAGCGGCCTTCGAGGAATCCGTAGCAAATACCACGCTTGCGCTTTCTCCTATCGGTCTTCTTCTCGCTCTTCATGTTGCTCCTCGTCGTCGATGAACTGGACGATGAGATAGCTCGTGGTTGTCCTGGACGAACCGACTTGAGCTGAGCATCAACTTTTAGCTGTGCGAACTTGTTACTATTGTTGTAACAGTCAACCAGGCGGACATGAGCTTCGGAGTAGGCGGTCTCCACAAACCGGCGAAAGGCCTCGTCGATGTCCAACGCTGTTTCCCAACCGTAGGTGGATGCCGCCTGGGCAATCCGGAATCCGTAAGCCTGAAGGGTAAACCAATCTATATCGAGTCGTTTCTCCTTGACTTTGTCCTCTGTAACAGTGGCGAGCATGACGCCAAGACAGAACCGACTGTAACATTGAGACCACAGAGCCCCACCGATGACGCCCTTCTCCTCTCTCGGAAGAGTCAAAGACTGCGGCACATCGTTAAGGATAAAGTCGAGCTTCACAGGATCGGAACGACCTAGCTTTGTCGTGTCCTTCTTGGCCTTGCTTTCCACAAGGTCCTTGAAGTCGATGAAAACCGAGGGATTATCCGTCAGACGCTTCCATATCAGCACCGGTGGCATGAGTTCACTCGCAATGTGGTCGATGCCCACCATTGACTTCAGAAGCTCGGCTCGTCTACGCATTTGGGCAGCCCAGTCCTTCTCATTGCGAGCTAGAGGGAGAGCTTTTTGGCCTGCAGCGAATAAGTCAACTTGGAAACCAGCATCCTTCACGCACGATCTCAATGCACAACCGACCATTATCTTCTTATCTTTCAACTCGTCCGTGGCTATGCCGGTAACCAGAGTTTCCACTTGCGCATCGGTCAGGTTAGACAACATCATTACTTGTAGCACGTTCTCCTTCTCAAGCTCTGCAGTGACCTTCTCAACCAGGCCGGGCTGCCCATCACAATGACGTTGAACAATCTCCTTAGCTCCGTCGGACAACGACATTGGATGAGAGTAAAGAAACTCGAGGCACGGCCTCGATAACTACATGAACACTCCAGTTCATCAGTAAACTGATATCATACCCTATGAGAGGTTCACTTAACACATATCCTCTGCGGTGCGTATGAAACTGTGATAACACAACTCCTTGCGCTCGCCTCTGGCTCGCGCGACAGACGTCGGGATCGTACTAGGCTTTCAGGCTCTCTCCTGTTATGGCTCTTTCACTCTCCGTACCTGAACGGTACTCCCCAGTATACTATTAATTTTCTTGGTATTTCATTAAAGCCATGGGTAAAACGTTAATTAAAAAGGTAAAACATTAACCAAATGGGTAAAAAATTGAATTTGTCCGTAAAAGATTAATTTGACCTGGAAATGCTGTAGTCACTATATTGGTAAACCTAACTCATTATCTGTAGTAAGACTGGTATTAAGATATTATAGTACTTGGTCCGCCACAGGGAGCTCGCGCATTAACTAAGCCAAAGAGTCAGGCAACATCAGTGATGAACACTTTAATTCAGGGCAAGTGACCCGATCCGAATTGTCGTTAAAAGGCCTCGGGAGACGTTTCCGGAAAATCACACTATAACCTATGGACTCGGAATCCGAGTTTCGGATCGAGATTTCCGAGACCCGGAGATCTGTAACCAAGTTCTCGGACTTGGGACTCGGAATGCGGCGTTCCGAGCGCCTTAGCAGAGCTAAGTTAGCACTTCAACAGGCTTATGAACCAGGAGTCCTGGCCGCGTGGGTCTGGCAGGGTGGGCCGGACAAAGACACTCAAGGACCCAGAATGTAAATAGTACTCAGTGAGTCACTCACTGTGAGTGTGCCAGCAATACATGCCTGCACCCTCTACGGTACTCGCTCCCGAGAGTGATGGGATCGAGAGAAAATATAGAAGCTCCTCTTATCTGTGACCATGCCATGATATACGGAACACGGGGAAGCTCCGTCCGCCTTACGGTAAGATCCCTACAGTGCGAATTGCTATCGAAGCTTCGCGGCCATCAGCGTCGAATTCTAACCTCGGTTAACTACTACACCATTTCCAGACCTACTTAAATGAAGCCCAGACCAAGTTAGTGAAACCTCAGACCAATTAAATAAAGCCCAGACCAAAATAGTAGGACCCCGAGCCAATTTAGTGAAGCCTAGATCAAATGCACTACAACTTAGAGTGCTCGAAGCTCAATACGGTACCGGGTTCCTTCCAAGAGGAAAGCACAGGCTCGTGATAGCGATAGACAGATAGCGGAGCCAGTATGCGCTATCTCATTAGGTTGAGAGATGTTGCTGACTCTTTGAGAGTCTTGACTCAAGGGAGAACTTGCCATGCTAAGGAGTATGTATGACAAGCTCAAAGGCTATCGCGAGACGCCTATTGTGCTCACCGGTGGCTGCACGCATACGCATAATGAATGCTGCTCATTACGCTAGCACAAAGCACACTCTGCCTTTGGAGTAGTACCCTGGTACAAGTAAACAACGATAAGAAACTCGGAAGGCCAAACGGGATCGATAATAACGGTATAGCCAGGTATCTAGCTACAGGTCAGTCGATCAGATGAGAAACAGCTCATTCCAGCAAACGGTCACTGTTCACGGCGTGAACAGTTCACGCAGTTTACGTGTACACTGTGATAACCCGGCTCATGTCCTCTTTGGAACGATCCGATTCACTTTCCCAGTTGAGAGTCAGGAAACTTGGAAATTATTACTCGGCTTTCTCGTATTGAGACATCTCTACGTTGTGATAGAATAATATGTCGGAATCATACGATAGAGTGCACCGAAGTAATCTGGCGTGCACTGCTCTGTTACAAAATAATGCAGTTATTGGCGATAAGTTATCGCAGTTGTGTATATGAGCTCGAATGCGTCATGAGTATAAGGCTACCCGTATATTAGCCATGTCTTCCGCTAGCAGCTTGAGGGGGTCATTCCCTCATCTACCAACTGACCACTAAGGAAAGAATCATTGAAGTCAGTTGAGTCTTCGAGTGTCTCGCAATCGCTTTTTCCCAATGTCCTTGAAGACGATCATCACTATCTTGGGCATCTTATCGATGGTTCAGTGCTTCCCACCTAGCCCGGAGTACTGCACCGTTCCGAACGTGAACTTCACGACGACTATCTTCTTCCACGTAGGCGCTCCAGACTTGCTCGAGATGCTCTACTTCTACAAGCAGGGAGGGAAGAAGGGCGCTAACGTGACTGGTACCATTCCTTGGACAGTTGATGATAATACTACCACACTATTCATGAATACCACTAATGCAAACTTGACTTACTTCGCTGACCTCATGCACTTCAATGTGACCGAATGGGGTAGGATTCCCTACAACGACACCATAAATGCCTTCACACTGTCCGTGAATGGGACTCCTACTGAAGCATATTCTGGCAGGTGTCCGAAGGCTCGCTAGTTTCGTGTAATGTGGTAGATCGCTCATGAGCATCTCATTACTCCGTTTAGATTTTTGGAGGTTGGCAGAAGGAATTCAAGTTCTTCCCCGAAGCTATTTCATTTCACTCAATAATTTCCCCCACTCGGCATTATAGAAGCATCATTGGTTTTTCGGGTCAGGTGTGGCCGTTCTGTCGAGGCTATATCTTACAATTTTGAGCCGTAATGCTCTCGTCCGCGTTCGAGTCAAGTCAATAGGGCTACACCGGAAGTCATGGACTTCGAATGCACAGTCGTATTGTCTTCTCACACGAGTGAGAATTATGACCCCTTATGTCGGAACAATTCCTTGTGTGTTACCCTACACGAAGCATGTGGACTGTACACCTTTTCAATCTCAAATTCAACAATCAAAAGAACAAATTAGATGAATGAAATTTGATTTTCGACAAGTGAAAGGTGTTTTTCGCGAAATGAAAGTTCAAATTCGAAATGAAAGTTCGATTCTCGTGGACCGGTTGAAAATGAAAGTTCAAATTCGTAAATGAAATTTTTGAATTCGGAAACGCAAGTTCAAATTCGTCGAACACAAGACCAATTTCGACCAATGAAAGCTCACTTTCATCAACGCGATCAACTCTCGGAGGTCTCAGCAAAACCGTCACTGATACAATAACAAGTGGGAAAGTGGCCATACCGCCTTACCTTAACTCCGTCTCTGGAAAAGGAATAAATTCTGAATGACAGGAAAGTCACGCGCCACAAAATTGAAAATCTCAACTATTGGAGATAAATATGTGCTAATTTTCTACCTGAGGGCCATAGATTATCTCAAAGTTCTTGAAATGGTAAAATTTTGTGAGAAAAATCCATTTACTGAACGGCATGTGCAAGGATCGAACCCACATCCATCCTCATCAACGTCAACGGCCACTACGCTGACCCTGATGCACAAATCTGTGACATTATCCGCCAGATCTTGCTTTCGGATCAGATCCGGGAGCACTATTAATCTGCTTACCTGAATCAGATCATAATAATATCTGGAAACTATGATCCTGATCCTGAACCCTGTTGCATTGGGCAGAATCTTGGTCCACGATCCTGATAAGCGATCCATGATCCACATTTATAGTCCGGGTCCCCGATCCCCGAGGAAAGTGCATGATTGGTTATCAGTGGATCACGCACATGGGAAATTCTATGCCTCCTCGATGCAACTCCGGAGATCCATGATTTATTTGCTCAGTGGATAAAGCTGAATCGTCCCCATCATCGAAGGATACGAGGCCGTGATCCGAGAATAGTCTCACACGCAGAAATTTGCACGTTACGCATTTTCGAGACTGAATCCTGTTATAGCGATATCTCCGAGCGATAATATCGCTAAACGGTTCGACAAAATTCGATAAATTTCAGCGATAGTATCTCTGTGATACTCAAATTTGATCCGTTTGAGTGGCATACCATGGCGCACATTTTTTGAACACAAGAACTACAGGGACAAACTTAGTGGTCACTACATATGCGAAGAGCTTGATGGCATGATCAGCACAACTCTCGACACTGTCTGCTGCTTCGACAGCGCATTCGGTCCACCCGACAATTCCCTCTATCAGTTTCAGGCTCCCGCCTCCCTTTCTTTCTTGGTAGTTGTGGAGGTGTCAGCGAGCCAGAATAACCCTGGCGCACTTCTCGCCTGCTTCAATCTCAATTTGCCGTTGCAAATTGCACATGACCTCTTGAGTTTCCCGAAGCTTCGCTCAATAGCAGGGTCTGGTATTGAGCGACGCTTCGGGTCTGCCTAGCAGACCTCACACATCTATGAGCGATATTGAACGCAGCGTTCGGAACACTCAGCGATGGCGGCACGCGACAGCGCTACGCTATATTACGTAAACGTTGAACGTTCAGAGCATGCCTTCCGCGAGAGAAACACAGTCTGCGTATGACTCTTTGTCGCAAGAAGTTCGAAGAAGTTGCACCTCCGAACGAGCCCACTGGTACATGTAATATCTGTTGACAACCTCAGCCGCACGAGTCACCATTTCTACGGTTTCAGCGTAGTTACTCTTGATAGAACAACGCAGAAGGCAATATTGTAAGGGTGTTATTTTGCAAGTCGGTCGGACTGACTCGGCTCGCGCCTTGATTATATCACGCACCGTGCATCGCTCCGCTCAAAGTCGTAGACGACAGTCGGAAGATCCGGGTCAAGCGCTCACATCAGTGATCCATTCATTGTCTCAGCTAAACATGAGCAGGCGAGATCTACGTGTGATCCGGCTCCACGGGTCACCTACTTCATCGTGATGAAGGACACTTTAGACAAAACCTCAGAAAATACTGTAAAAAAGAATACCCGATCCACCCGTCCAATTTTTCTCTTAAGATCAGTCATGGATCAGCATGCGCATACGGGCCCAGCACATATATACACCCTCAATTTAACAGTCAAATTTCGACTGATGAACTCACATCAGAATCGTAGCAGATCCGGAGCGCTACCAGCGCACACAGAATCTGTGTCACAGATGATCTATGATAGATTGCCCGCCTGAATATCGCGCTTCAACACGAATCTCTCAGTTGACATTCACGAGTAAGGATTCATGTTCTCTTCCGACCTGACAGGGTACCGACACGAACGAATCAAATTTCCCCCGCACCACGAGACTCACCTTTCCAGTGTCACAAACACACCGCTACGCGTCTTCGTCGAATCATCATAAGAGTTAGCTTCTCGAACAAACCAATCTTTCGACAGGCCGTGGCAGTGTCCATGACAGAGGGAATTCGTACGACATGAAATGACCCTTGCCCTTATAAAAAATCCAAATTGAGCAAAACAACGCTGTAGCTAGCACAGAAAAAAGGCGTTTATCATTCACATTACCGATTAATATTGTTCGCATATCAGTAACCATAACTGCCGTCACTTCTAGGACTCCACGCCGGTTTTACCATTAACGCCCAAGGCCGATACCTCCCCCCAAATCGAAGGCCCCTATCTCCACGAGGATGGAGATACACCATACAGCCGGGCTCTAATGGGACGAACGTCGATCCTTGAAAGGGGTGCGCCTCGAGATCATCAGGTAACTGCTCTGAGACCGGTGCCTTCGCTTCCCCTCGAAGAATTTGCTCTGAGGAAGAATCAGGATGCAGATAAAATTTAGTAAATCAAAAATTATCAATTTCCGGATCTGTTAACAGCTTAGGTGGAATGTGTAGAAGCTCAGCACACCGCGAACTGGGCAGTACGAAATTTACTCACATCCGAAACCGTAGGAAGTCTCGATGACCCTTCCATTTTCCTCACCCCAAGTGATATCATCCTCCTTGATCGGCATCAAGCGTAACCAAGCAGTAGTCGGATCGGAGTAAATCGATCCTTCCAAGGTCTCGCACATCGGCACTCTATATGGTATATCGCTATGACGCTCCCGAGCGGCTTTCTTCGGGACTGATGACGATGTAGTCGACATTGAGCTACTTCGATATGGTAAAAGATTCAGATCTGGGAAACATAGTCTCCACTAATACGAGGTGATCACACCCAAGCAGCTCGCAATTTCTCGATTTATCTATAGTAATTTTATTTACATTTCTAGAGTATACGAGTCACGAGTGAAACGTTCATCACACTGAAGCCTTCTCTTGATAGATATGATGGTGTGCTGAGATCACCAAAGTATCTCCAGTGGCGAGATACGATAAATTCCATTGAAACAATTGTGGATGCACATTCCGTACAGCAGGGCGGAATGGCACAAAACCGAACCTCATTTGTATCTTGCGCACTGAACCTCAAGATACCATCATAAGGCGAATCGCATCGGCTAGAGTATCTGCTTTTTCCCCGATGCACGCTAACTGTCTTCTATAATCATATTTAAGCATTTAAGTCGCTGATAATTGACGATTTCAACAACCAATATTCCACAGTGTGGAGCACATCGTTATGTTAATCCATGTGGAGACGAGGCTCGGTTGTGTTTTACACCGGTTTTCAACTGTACGAGATCTGCTGACCCTGTCGATTCTACGACTGTGTTTAATCTCTTCCCTTCACGTCTTATCGCACACAACGAGTTTGTTTCCTCCTATACCGTAGATCACACCAATATTAATGAACACGTGAAATCACAGCATTAATGCAAGGCTAGAATCGGAATAGATATGTAGTTACAATGAATCGGTCTGATTGGATCGATTAGAATGGCGCGCGCTACTTACAGCTATTTATTTGTTCGATTTCACTTTCGATTTCTGTTGTCTATCATAATCAATGGTAGGTTATCAGTGATGATGGTTATTATTAATATACGCTCCGAAGCCTCTCTAGAGAGCTTGTGCGGAATCATTAAACTCATACTGAACTACTCTCTTATAGTAACACCATGCACACATCTGCTGATGTGAGGCTAATTGCAATTGTCGTTGCAACGGATTCGTTTGGATCAAGTGTCCATGAATACAAACTTGTTTGGAAGCATTGATTTCGTATAATAATAACTACAGTTGGATCTTCTTGAACGGCAGAAGTGTTTAGAATTCCAATAGTAATTATAGAGGAAACTATGGGAATGATCGATTCCAATGGTAATTATAGAGGAAACTATGGGAATGATCGATTCCAATGGTAATTATAGAGGAAACTATGGGAATGATCGATTCCAATGGTAATTATAGAGGAAACTATGGGAATGATCGATTCCAATGGTAATTATAGAGGAAACTATGGGAATGATCGATTCCAATGGTAATTATAGAGGAAACTATGGGAATGATCGATTCCAATGGTAATTATAGAGGAAACTATGGGAATGATCGATTCCAATGGTAATTATAGAGGTAGAATCGCGGTAAACAACCCTGGACTGACTCGAAGCTGTTGATCTAAGTAGCCATGATATACACAACAGTTGAGTGAATCCAATAGTTAAATCGATAACAAACGTACCAAATTTAATTATAGTTATTATCTTATATATCAATATATTTATAATGTTATAATTATTAATAATTACTATTGGTATTATGTGACCACCGATATCCCTATTATTTATATTAATATCATGTTAATAAGTTAGAGACTTGCAAGCTTCACTAGTGTTTTCGAATAAAGCCGACAATACAAACTAACTCGACAAACTGAATATTTTAAAAGTAGAAGGGAAAGATGGTCAGAGGAATTATCAGTTTTCTGTGGCGTTTCGTGAGCATTTGGGCTCAACTAATGCAACCATTGTTGAAACCGTTTGGTGATCACTAAACTCATTCTGAACAAACACTCCTACAGCGGCATTAGTGTCTTATCAAAACTTGCAAGTTCTCATATTCGCGCTCGAGAAGCTCTTCACAACTCAACTTCAAAAGACAACCCTCGTGCCGTTGCTTTGTAGTTTTTTTTCTGGTGTGTAGCTTGACCAGCAGGAGTTCCACACAGGACACACCTCCTACTTCCCCACCACTACTAATACGCAAAAAAAAGACACTTTTGTAGAAACTGATGGCATAATATTATCATTATCAATATTATCAGTTATTATCATCATTATCAAAATCGAACTTCAATCGACGCAACAGTTCAGCGTCTCGAGCGCCACCAATGCGTTTGATATCCGCGTCGGACCAGTCGTAATTCCCCTTGCCGTTTTTCACACCAAGTCGACCATCACCGACCAACCGTTCACTCCTATCATCGTGGGTATCCCTAAAATGCAGCAAAAAATTAGTCAAAAAATACAAAATTTTCGCAGTTACTTTCCGAGTTGAGGGAAAAATCTCGCATGAGTGTCCTCAACGAGATCAAGCCCGGCAAAGTCGTTTTGTTGGAAGGGGCCGATCGTGTTAAAACGACGACCAAAACCGTTGTAAACAACAGAGTCGATCGTCTCGGGACTGGCGACACCCAACTTGACGAGATGGAGGCATTCACGGTAGAGAGCTGCTTGTAGACGGGCACAGACGAAGCCGTCGATCTCCTTATTCATCTGAGGGGAAGAATATCAGGAAAAACAGGAAAATACCGACCGGAAAATTCGTAATACCGAAAAATTACCATTATGTCCGTAAAAAATGACGACACAGATCTTGAAAAAACGACAAAAAAAATACCTCGCTGAAAAAATAGCATGAAAATACCAAGAGTGAATACTCACCACTGCTGGCTTCTTGCCGCAACTTTTCAAGAATTTCTCAACTTTCTCAACCGCATCACCATCAGTTTTCCGACCAGGGCAGACCTCAACCAAAGGCACCAAGTAAGCTGGACCGATGAAGTGAGCGGCCAGCAGGCGTCCAGGCTTATCGAGTTTAGAAGCGATTTCCGTAACGGAAAGACTACTAGTGTTGGTGCACATCACAAAATGTTCCTTCCTGCAGGCATTTTCAATCTGTTTGAAAACACTCTGTTTCACACCAGTGTCCTCAAGTACGGCCTCAAAAACAAAATCGGCGTTTTTTACTGCGGATTCGATCGACTCAGCAGCATAGATCTCGCCAGGCACTGCAGTAGGGGGAACATGATTTTCCCTTAGGAATTCTCGTTGATTGATAGCATTCTCAACACCAGCTTTCAAAGCTTCTGAGCTCGTATCGAACATATGCACATGATGGGGACCACCCGCAGAGATGCACGCGGCGATACCGCTGCCCATGAGCCCACTACCGATAACGGCAACTTCCATGATGAACAAAAAAAAGACGGCAACTGCAAATTCACGTTGGTTTCATTCGTACACTTCGGGAACTGCAAATCTGAGCAGCAGTTGAGGAAACCCGACATAGATCTTGACAACACTTTTTGGGAAAAAATGGAAATGATGACGTTTCGTGCGGAGGAAATACAGCTGAGGAGAACAAGGGGACATTTTGTGTTCACTCGTAACACAACAGTTTCCTGTAGCGTCGTCCGCCGACTCAAACCCCGGAATAACTGGTGGCAACTCAACCTCTTGAAGATGGGTTGCATGAGTTGGGCAGCATCAGAACATGGCAAGTGAGAGGCTACACCGAAAAGACTTGGCAAAGGGTGCAATAATCGGGGCCGATAGTGTACGTGCCACCTTCCGAGGTTTGAGTCAGCCGACGACGCTACATCTTCCTCGATGAGCCTTTTGTATTGGAAACAGCGAAGCGGCGAGCGGAGCATGTATTGCCACTCGGTGCATTTCCTCGTTCGAGTTGTTCCTCCACGACTACACCAGTTGAGTTCTCGAAACACATACCACTCCAAAGAGTGTAGTTTATACAGGGCCCATCCTTCTAAACCGGAATATCAGCCAACCTCGAAAGCAGTACTATTTTGAAGATCTCCCTGACTCAGCTCTAGACTCCGTATATTGGACGATAAGGAGAAAGCTGTGTAGACTCCATTTCTGGAGTGCTTCTCTATAGCGATGGTCCAGCGATATGCAACAAAATTTTTATGGAATGGTAAATCTGATCTTTCCAGTAAGTTGAATCATGCTTAACCGCGCATACAGCAAAATGGGCGCTACTAACACTTCTCCACACATGTTTCGATAGAGAGTAAAATGATGACCATTGGAAAGAAGAGCTCGCCGAGTGCTTCAAAATGGCTGCTGATATTCACATGCGTTGAGAAATGACTATCACTCTGCATATCATGCATAGAATATGAATATGATTACTCTATCGTCCGATAGTTGTGTGGTGTGGAATCCGTTTGCCCAATCTGTCCCTCCTAGCTATGGCTAGTAGGAGGTTGCATTCATGTTATTCCTGCAAATAGTAACGCCCTGGCTAGTGTTATAAGTCAATGTCAAGAGGACTGTGGTGTCGAACAGCGGCCCAACGGGTGGTCACATATACTCCATATTCATTGAATCGATAGTTGATATGTGTAACAAGCAACTCTTGATGCGAGTCTGTGTTTCGAAATCGGTTTATCGAACAACCTCATACTCTCATAGCCGTGCGGGATTAATTCTGTACAGTTACTGTTTGTCCATCATCACCATTACTGCGAATGATCTCTTCATCCCTACAGTGTCGCCATAACATCACCAAAGTCCTACAGTCTTCTTATGACTATCATTAACGCATCGGGGGTACTCTTATTGCCCTTCTACCATCACACTACATCACTGATGACTGGAGTCTTGATTACTACTCCTCTTAGGAGCACTTGTCAATGGCCTTCTACAAATAATGTGTTCATGAGCACTACTCTCACGAACACCTCTGACGCTGACGCGCACGCCATGGTGATCGATTTTACTTCCCCCAAATTCCAACACTACTTTTTTCTTGAGTTTTTTGCGAATAAGGGTAATATGCATTCAGGGAGTTTCGAACCAGGGACCTTACCAAGACTAACAACCCCGCCTACCACTACACCACTACAACTCAACAATCAACTACACCAGACACCAACGAATCAGAACTGTTCCTAGAAAGCTCATCAAAACTACTCAACGACTCTTGCCAAACGGAATATAATTGTTACAACAACTGCGTATTATAACTGCGATCGAGCTCATATCATTTTTCCAAGTACGTCTTGTGAACCCTGAGAGAACAAAATCCTCATTTGGGAATTTCACTAAACCACAGAATGAAAACTCTACTTTTTACTGCGCAAAATTTCCACTTTACCGAACTAAAGAGTAGCGAAAATTGATTCCAAAAAATTATAATTATTATTCACTCACTTTTCAATTTAACTGCAATCATTTCACACAGCGACTTTCGCAAGTCCTCGCAAACGCGGGCAACCACCATCAAAAATCAAAATCATATTTATCCAGAAACACATAGCGTCTCGACGGGAAAACTCCTCATAAATTTTTCACATATTTCTTGATCAGTTCATCATGTAAATTCACACGTCACCTTATGAACATCATTCGCCCCCCTATTTTCACAGCTTCAATACCCTCATTTCTCAACAACACCCCCAAACGTTTTTTTCGAGCATTTACCCATTAAAAATTTCTTTCCCAAATTTTCCGGTTCAAACGAATACCCCCAAAATTTAATGAAATTCCTCTGATATTTTTCAGACGTACTGCTGACTACCTAAATGTGAGCGAAACCCGCGGGTAGTGCTTCGAAATATAATTCTCTTTGGTGATCTGATGTAGATAATTCTTCTGCGTATCACCAGCCATGATAACGACACTTCCGTTCTCTAGTCGAACATGATACGCAGTATCGGATCTAACACAAAAACGACTTTTAATACAACAGCAACATTTGTTTTTATGCACAATTTCTTCACATTAACATTTTGCATACGTGTGAAAACTTATTATGCATAACTGGTAGTTTTCGAATCATTATCATCATCAACACCAGTGAGGGGAATATGCACATGGTCAACAACTACAATATGAAAATTGTGAGGGAATTTTGGGAAATTTTTTGTACACTCCTACTATAGGTAGTAGGGAAACTCCTGGGCTCAGCTGAGGAAAGTAAATATATATTCCTCCAATAGTGAGAAAAATAAGCGCTGTTGAGGAAAACACGAAAACCGCGTGGAGGGAAAATATGCACATGGTCATCAACCACATGTGTTGGTGATGATGACAATATGAAAATTTTAGGAAAATTGTGTCACCAGTCGCGAATGTACATAACAAAAATTTCTACATCTCAAAGAGACTTTCCCAACTTCTTTTTAATTTCCGCCAAATACAACAATCACAAAAATTACAAAAATACACCTCTTCGGGAGAGCCCAGCCAAAGGTAAGAATAAAGCCAGAAACTTGCAAGCGGCAATGAACATATAAATGGAGTTTCACCACCCTAGTGAAAAATATATTTCACGACTACTGCGTGTCACCGCGAATATCGCGTTTTTCACCGAAAATTACGACGCCACTTCGCGTAAAACGGGTTATGAAACTCCAACAATATGACCAATAAATTGCTCCTCTCATAATAAACTTCATACCAAAATTTCCCAAACTCTCACCGCATCCATAACAACAATAACAAAAGTTATCAAAACCAGAGCAATGCAATCCTCCCCTTCCCCCCTCTTATTACGGTGCTCCCATCAGTTTTAGTGAAAATATTCTTTCCGCGCCAAAGCTCACACAAGGGATGGGACAGTCCTCCCGCAATTCAGGTTCGTTATCACTGTGATAAGCAACTCCTAAAATATGGAAAAATTCCAATTTCGATTATTTATAAATTTTCACTACCCGCCCTTCCAGAGTGATAAACGTTCGCCACACAGTAATTGAAATTAACTTTATCCTCTCCATAAATCGGTCTGAGAAAGTGCCTCTAAATTTTTTCCCAAAACCGGACGTTTTAACCCACGCTAAAACGCTCTTCACTCGGTGCATTATACCCAACACAAACGGCGGAAACGCATCTGCCACATATTCGCTCTCAGAAAAGGTATACCTATCGAAAACCATCATCACCATCACCAACAACCGCTCCAATTCTTCACTTACCGCATGCCTTTCGGTGACGAAAATTGCACAATATCTCTACCATAACTCACAGTATTCCAACACACATGCTGTTCACTCATGAGCATTGATAAATATAATTCACTCTCCTCAACAGAAAATACGCCACTTTGATATCGAACATCACAGCCCAATAACGGGAACCTAAACCCCAAAGATTCATTTCCTGCCCCCGCAACAAGATACAAATCAGGTCCGACTTGATCATAGTCATCGGGGGAAATTCCGAACCATGTATAGTAACCAGTGCTCCTGCTCTTCCTTCTTCTTCATGAGCTTCACACGATCGCATATCACCAAAGCCATGAGCGAATCGGCACCACTCGCCATGAACACAGCGCCGTCCATGTTCCCAATACCAGCATAGATAGCGCTTATGATGCTTATCATCGTTGGAAGAAGTGGATCTGATAGAAATTAATTCAACAAGTTTATGCAACCTTTACGACTACAATTATCTAGAATCTATTCGCATGAATAACTACCTGGGAAATTTCGGGAAAATATTTTTTTAACCTACCTGGGAAATTTCGGGAAAATATTTTTTTAACCTACCTGGGAAATTTCGGGAAAATATTTTTTTAACCTACCTGGTAAATTTCGGGAAAATATTTTTTTACCAGAAACGAAAAAATTCCTTTCACGCACCACAGGTGTTACGAACTCTCGATAAATTGCTCTTCCCAATACACTAACCCATCAGTACATCACTTACTCTGAATTGGAGCTTCCATCAGATCTACTGTGCTCGCTTGACCCCACTGTATGAGCTAAGGCTTGATCCCACGTCGTAGGCTTTTTATGGAGCATCGCTAACAAGAGCTCACCTGTGAAGAAAGAGATCCTAGTATGGAATATATTACATATATAAACTACACGGTGATAACAAAAATTCACCCTAGTGATATGAAAAACGTATTTCACGACTGCTGCATATCACCGCGAATATCGCGTTTTTCACCTACTTTTACGACGCCACTTCACGTAAAACCGATTACGTAAAATAAAAATAAAACTCCAATGTAAAATATCAAATCATCAACATCATAAGCCGCGAGAAATTTACGAATGTCGAAATTAAATTCTTCGCACTTTATACGATGAATGTGAAAACACTGCGCGGGGGGAAACATGCACATGGTCATCAACTGCATGTGTTGGTGATGATGACAATACGAA